GTTCAAGGCCAGGCTGGATGGGGCGTTGTGCAACCTGCTCTAGTGGGAGGTGTCCCTGCCCATGGCAGGGGTGCTGGAACTCGATGATCTTTGAGGTCCCTTCCAACCCAAACCATTCTGTGGTTCCTGGGCAGGCTGGCTCTGGGGTGGGGGCACTGCTCAGCCCACAGCATCTGCCTGGCAACGAGATGAGGTCCCGATGCGATGCAGCCCATCTGCCTGCCTTCGGGATGAAAACAGACAAAGTGAGGGTACAGAAGCAAAGAGAACTTGAGTGAACAGGTAGAATGAATTTCTTGAGATGTGTGAGATTGAGCAAGAATTGAAGCAACTCAGAATTACGTGTTTATTTTAAAATAAAGGATTTGTTTTATTTAGAATAGTGTACTTCTGTGCCTTGTGTCATTACTATTTTTTACAATAAATAATCATGTCCAGAGTAATTCTGAAGAAACTATCTAACTTCATTCTTGTTTGATTTTTTTATTTTTAGCATCTACACGAACAAGGATGCAAAAGCAGAAACTGAATGATGGAAACGATACCTCAGCCAGTGAAGAAAAGTGAGATTCTTCTCAGGACCAGGGGCTGCACTGCAGGCCCTCTTATATCATTTTTGTTTTACAGCCTTCGTTAATTGAGTTGCTTTTTTTAGTTGCTTTTTATTCGGAACTGCTAGTTGAAAGCATTTGGACTTTTTAAATTTTAAAATGTTTTTCCTGATACTTTGCCGTATGATGTAGCATATATACAATGTAAGCCACTGAATTTAATTTATATATTTTTTTGAGGATTTTAAAAAGAGACTTGGAAGGTGTCTTAGTTTCCTATTGCAACGTTACTGATTTAAGCCAATTCAGTCTACTTGGATTGAATTTTTCTGACTAAAGACAAAATGTTAGTTTAGAAAGACTTGAAATGCACTAATTTTTTTTCTTAGATTTCATTTTTAGATTTTCATTACTTGCAAATTTTGAAAATGAGGGGCCAGATACTGCAAAGATTTCTGTCTCTGTGTATAATTAGCGCATCAAATTCCCATTAACTTAAACTGCGTAGCAGTCATAGACCTAATTAGACCTTTTAATGTGAGTCAGGGCCTCATATTAAAAGTACAACCTGAATTCCAGGTGAACTCATTATGTAGCCGTACTACTGAAACCCATATTTAGCGTTTTGTAGTTTTCCTTCCCCAGTTCTCACCCCAGTGTAATTTCGGAGGGCAGTTACACTGTCCATCAGTTTGAATTTCATGGAATTCCACAGGGAGTCTTCCATGAAGCTGAAGCTTCTTCCCATGTGCAGAGTACTTGATGTGCACTTTTCTTATCTTGGAAAATGTCAATTATAAAAAAAACAAACAAACAACAAAATCCAAACCTACATCCCATGTGGTACACACCAAATTTCAAAATTCTAATGATGTAGAATTTTCTTGATTTCTTCAAATTTTCACCTAACTGTAGCCAAGCCAAATAGCTTGAGAAACGGACGCCAAACCTGTTTCCTGCAGTTGAAGGCTGAGTGTCTCCAGTTGGGTTCCAGGTAAGAGTAACCTGGTCTCGAAAAAAGCACAGGGCACCATCTCCCACTGCCCTTACCCCGCAGCATCTCCTGAACTTGATGAACCCACGTTGGGAAAATCAGTCTGCCTTGTTTTACTGAAAAGGCAGAGTTTAATAGGCAACTCGTGAAGTGGTACAACTGGTGTAACAAACACCCAAAGCCCAAAACTTTTTCCAGCTTACGTGTTTTAAGTTACTGATTCAGATACTGGAATTTTTCTTGCAAGGATAAAGGGTTTGCAAAAACCCTTTTCTTGCAAAAAAAAGGGTTTGCAAGAGCCAGAGAAGGAAAGCACATGTTTTACTTCCAGTGGATGAAGATTTCAGTAAATAAATGAAGTCCTACATTAACATTACCCATTTTTATGAAATTTAGCTTTTGCAGCTACTTGAATTAAAACAGTTACAGTAGAAAAGTTTGCTATTCATTACACAAACATTTGAAAACCACATCTTCTCCAGGCAGCTGATTCAGATTGTTTAGCTGAACCTGGAATACTTACACTAGGACATTTTAATGATCAGTTCTTGTGTTGAACGGAAGCTAATTCTAGAGCTACTAAAAATTAGACAAACAGCCCACTGATTTGTCATGAGTTTTAAAATAAAATTGAGTTATTTTTTTAGTCTCAACATGGCTTCAACTTTCTTTTTGAAAAATGTGCAGAAATCTTAAGAGTACCTTATGTTCTCACTTTTGCAGAGTCCTACAAACAGGATATATGATAACATTGGGGCACACTGACTATAAGCTCTGTTACAGCTATTGAAGTTCTTCCATGATCCTTTGGCCAGAGGGGTGACGTTCCAGAGCCCAGTACTTGAGCAAATTCAGTATTTCTTTACTGTGACAACGTATTATTTTTTGTTTTTGTTCAAACAGACTGAAGGCTTTACATCAAATGTACGATAATATTTTATACAACTAATCAGTTTCTCTCCTTTCAAGGTAAATAAAATAGCTTTTAAAAGATTTAGAGTTGGTAATTTTCTTTTATTAGATGGGAAGGCGACTTCACGTGGTAACGATGTCCCTCAGTAAGTAAACTTACCCTCAGTAAGTTTACAGACGACACCAAGTTCAGTGGGAGTGTTGACCTGCTTGAGGGTAGAAAGGCTTTGCAGAGGGATCTGGACAGGCTGGATGGATGGGATGAGGTTCAACAAGGCCAAGTGCCGGGTCCTGCACTTGGGTCACACCAACCCCAGGCAACGCCACAAGCTTGGGAAAGAATGGTGGAGAGCTGCCTGGCAGAAATGGACCTGGGGGTGTTGGTCGACTGTCGGCTGAACATGAGCCAGCAGTGTGCCCAGGTGGCCAAGAAGGCCAACAGCATCCTGGCCTGTATCAGGAACAGTGTGGTGAGTAGAACCCAAGAGGTGATTGTCCCCCTGTACTCGGCACCGGTGAGGCCCCACCTGGAGTACTGTGTCCAGTTTTGGGCCCCTCACCACAAAAAAAAGACATTGAGGTGCTGGAGCGGGTCCAGAGAAGGACAAGGAAGCTGGTGAGGGGTCTGGAGAGTAAGTCTTATGAGGAGAGGCTGAGGGAGCTGGGGTTGTTCAGCCTGGAGAAAAGGAGGCTGAGGGGAGACCTTATCACTCTACAACTACCTGAAAGGAGGCTGTAGAGAGGTGGGGGTCAGTCTCTTTTCCCAAGTCACAGGTGATAGGACAAGAGGAAATGGCCTCAAGTTGCACCAGGGGAGGTTCAGGTTGGATATTAGGAAAAAATGTTTACACTGAAAGGGTTATCCAGCATTGGAATGGGCTGCCCAGGGAAGTGGTTGAGGCACCATCCCTGGAGATACTTAAAAGATGGGTTGACATAGTGCTTAGTGAGATGGTTTAGTGATGGTTTTTATCAGAGTTAGGTTGATGGTTGGACTCAATGATCTTAAAGGTCCCTTCCAACCTAGACAATTCTGTGATTGTGTCCTGCTGTGTCACGCTTCCACCGTGATTCTGCAGCTGGTATGAGCAGAGCTCGCTCCGTCTCCAGTGATTCCCTGCTGGTGCAGAGGTCTAAATAGTTGCGCTGTTGGGCTTGGAGATACCTTCAGAAGTGTCCATAAGACATTCTGGAAATGTTCCTGCCAGATCTTTTGTTCCAGGGTCACCACTGGTAACACTTCTGGCTGGACACAGGCCGGTGTGGTCTGGGTCACCGTCACGTGCCTTGCAGAGGTCCTTGAGGCAGTTCCTTCTATGGTGTCTGTATTTAGAAGTGTTCCCATCACTTCACCACCCCGCTTTTCACCATGGTTTCTATTGCTTTCAGAGCTGCTGAAAACAGCCCGGGATGTCAGAACTTCTGTGTGAGGCACCGTGGCTTCTGGGCTGGCTCTCTGGCTCGTAGGCACAGCAGCCTCGCTGGCTCCCAGCCCCGGCTTTATTAGAGTCCGTAGGTTCCTGTGACTCATGACTCTGCTGAACTTGCAGTGCTATTTATAGCAGCCCTTCACGACAATGATTAGAGCACAAAGGGCAGTCCCTGCCCCCGCCCAAAACACATTTTTCAGAGTCTTTATTTTTTAAGCAGATACATGTGCAAATACATGGGTATTGAAATTAAAGGCTTTTTATCAGATCTGGCACTCTGAGAGCACCTTCTTACAGCGAGACCTTCTTGTATTCAGGATGGGCTGGAATATTGAGGCTGTTTCAGGGGGAAAAAATAAATAAATTGGGATTTAGAGTGAAAGAAGAGTTGGACAGAAAATGGGAGGGGATGTTTCGGGTGCCCGATGGTCAGGATTGTGCTGCTGAGCAACCTCTCCTCACCATGGTGGAGAAACGCACACCTGGGGAGGAAACTTGCCTCTCTTGAAGCTGTCTTTGCAGAATGAGGCTGTATGAAACCCACCTCAGAGAGGCCTGTTTCTCTCCCTATAGGTTAAATATAACCTATAGCTGTCTCCGGGTGGAAGAGCTGACTCCCAGCCTTTCCCACATGCTCTTTGCTCTCCCACGTCACAGAACGTGTAACCTGCCTGTTCCCAGGCACAGGAGTGGCTGCCAGAAGAAACATCTGGAGAAGATTATGACTGTGTGATACCAGTGCAACAAACACGAGGAAGTATTTTAAAATGCATCAGGTAGGCTGGTCATGGTGTGCACCTGCTTCAGAAACAATGCTTGGTGTTTTGAGGACAATTTTATTAATCATCAGGTCAACAGGGCATTAATCTCTTTGCAAATTCTCCAGCTCTCTTTTTGCACCTCTGTTTTCATCCTACTTACAAACGCTTTATCTGGTGGCAGTTATATCCTGAAGAGCACAAACAGCCTTTTAAAATATCTCTCTGAAATATCATCTCTGGTTTATTTCATTTTTTTTCCCCACACTGCTAACTGCCTACCCGACTTAATTTACAAGTGTCAGACTTTCTTCACTTTTTTACTGAAAAGGAAGGAAAAAAAATCCCACTCATATTTTTCAAATATCATGGCATTTTTATTAATGGTCTATTATAACCAGGCAAGTTTATAAAGAAACAAGAAAATCAAACCATAATTTTAGGTTCAGGCTGTAAACTTTCTACATCGTTAGGTGGCAGCCAATGAGCCCTGTCTCTGTGGGGTAAATAAACGCTTTGTTTTACAAGGAAAGCCCATTGAAGTTGTTCAGATCCTATAAAACCAGCGGTTTACATAGTTATCAGGCATTGTAACAAAAATCTAGAGGTGAATATTAGATGACAATGCATTGTTGTCTCTTAGCTTCAGTAACTTAGATACTTTAAATAGACCCTAATCTCTGTCATTTCTTTTGCTTTCAAATTCCACTTGATTCAGAAAGTTATTTACCTGGTTCCCTTTGTGCAACTTTGGAACATCCCTCTTTATTTAAACCCCAGATACAGTTTACGCATGACCTTATTTTCACTTTTTAACAAACACCTTTTTGTCTGTGGTGTCCTTAAACAGAACGATACTTACATACTTAAATACTCAATGAAGTATTTAACATGCAAGATCCACAAATCTAAGCTTGTTGCATCCCTAATTTCTTCTAAAATGTCCCACGATTGTGTTTCAAGCACGTATTTCTATACACGCATCCACATTTAACCACCTATGTCAGTATGTTTTTTTAAACATTGACCTTTAAGTGCCAAGGAAAGTGCATGCGATGGAAGTAAAAAAAAAAATAAAATTAAATAAATAAATGTCTCTATGAATGTCATACTATCACGTCCAGGTCAGACGAGGCTTATTACATGAAGAAAAGCCACCACTGACGCATTGGATCTTTAGAATCGCCCTCATTCACTCCAGAGATGCTTTTTTTCTCAAAATTACAGGCTTTGCCAATTACTCCGAAATTGTGACTGGGCTTTAATGCGCACAGCAGGTTGGAAATTATGAGCAGGAAGGAAATAAATTGGGAAAAAAAAAAAAGAAAAAAAAGGACACTATTGGTTATGTTAAACCAAAAGTGCCTGGCTAAGCAAGCGTGCCATTTTGACTGCAGCAGCTGCTGAACTGCAGAGATATGAATATATGAAGCCCCCTTTAGGTACTGGAAGGCTGCTATAAGGTCTCCCCAGAGCCTTCTCTTCTCCAGGTTCAACACCCACAACTCCCTCAGCCTTTCTTCGTAAGAGAGGTGCGCCAGCCCTCAGATCATCTTCGTGGCCCTCCTCTGGACCTGCTCCAACAGGCCCATCGCTGGCTTAACCCAAACATCTGGAATTCCCCAGCCCTGGCTGCTGTAGAATTGCCTTGTGTCTGTGCTTCAGCGTGATCAGTGCTGGGCTGTACCGTGCAAGGTTTGCAAAAGAGTTGTGCCCTACCGTGGTGATACGTGTGACTATCTGCATTAATATCCCTGTGCCCCAGTCAAGTGCTTTTCAACGTAAACGTATCAAAACTGATCTCGTCCCCCAGGGAAGTTGTGGTTTTGATGAAACTGCATTATGTACTGGAAAGTTTTTTTTTGACCAGTTCTGTTCGAACACAAAATACTGACACAGCTGCTGAAGTATGGACTTAGGCTGCTGGAGGAAGTTGTTCTAATCACTGAGGGGGTGGCAGAACACACTTGTTAGCAGTGGATGATCCAATATTGTTCTAGTGAGAGTCTGAGGCAAAGGCCTCCAACACATATAATTTTTAACCACAGCACTTTCCAAAATAACTTGTTTAATGGCCCTCTTCCTAAGTAAATACTGCTGTCTCCATGCTCCCCCCTTCCACTCACACCCACAGGGACTGATGTGAAGAGAGGTACTACTCACTGCTTCTCATCTTCTTCTCTGAGGATGAGCTTCTCCTTTTCCTCTTCCTCCTCAAGGAACAGGATTGTTTGGGAAATGATCCTCCAATGCACTAAAGAACAGTTACTTCTACTTTCAAAATGAGGCTGCCATCATTCAAGGGAATTAGGTTCTTAGAAACCACATTTGAGGATTAGAGAAAGCCATCAAAGGCTTTTGTGACACAGCAAGGATCTGAAGGAAGGCCGCGTGACTAATTATATTAGTGTACCGAGCCTGGTCATCCAGCGTCTTGCCTTCTCCATTTGTAAAGTAAAGTACTCTAAAAGGCACTTAAAGCCACTTCATCCAGTCAAAATTTTAAGAGAAATCATTTTCTCAGGATTAATTCACAGTTGCCTATTATAAAAAAGTCAAGTAAATGCTTCATGGGCTCAGCATCATCTGTAATGGGGCAAACCTCCCTCAGTGCCACACTGGGTGGGGTTTCATCTTAACTCACTTTAGTTGGTTAGAAATGAAGCATCTGCTCTACCTTAGCCATCCTGTCTCCCCCCATGGTCAGTGATGAGAGAGGGGCACGTCCAGAGGGTGACTCCTGTCACCTAAACCAGGCGTGCCAGGTAAGTGGCACAGTCACCTCGCAGCACTGACTGAAGGAGAACCTGAAACAAGGTATTTGGACAAGGCATCCTTATTGCCACGTGGAAAATAATATAAGTTTCATTCTTATGATTCAATGGTAAGACCCATTTTTATCACTTCAAAACTCTCTTTTTTTCTCCATTTTAATTAAGATGGTTTATCTGGGGATAGATAGTAAGACAGGAACAAACAAACCTCAAGTTCCTCAAGTGGAACTTCCCTTTCCTTGAAATCTTGTTTGGGTGTCTTTTTCTTGGTAACAAGCAACCAGATGGTTTTCTGAGTACCAAAACACACAGCACAATAACTCACATCCAGAGAAATCCCGTGAGTGTTTCCTGGCCCGTTGGGGTGCCAAGGAATGTGCCTGGTGAAAGGAAGCTTTCTTTCATTCTGTCTAGAAAAATGGACCTAAGTGCCAGGAACTCACAACTGTAATATCCAGCTCTTCAGGGCTTACGTATTTACACTCCAAATAAACACCAAGACAGACATATCCTTCTACCAATCAGAAAGCCTCTCATCCTAAAGAATTCATTACTTTATCATATATTCTGAGAAACAGGTTTGTATCTTCACCGGATGATAAACCAGGCACAGAGAAGCAGCCCCACTGCAGCATGTTAACTGGGTTTGGTGATAACAATAAACTATGAAAGTTTTAGCAGCAAACAGGTCACTGTCCCATAAAACCCACATGCAGGTTGTTAAAAAAAAAAAGACAAGAACTCAGACAGACAAGATAATGATAGCTTAGTTTGCTTGACTTTAAGTGGGAAAGGGTAGTTACTGCATTAGATTTTTTGTCGTTAAATTCTGCCCGTTGGCAATGAACTCTCACCAGACATCTACCCTGTAGCCATCTTTACAAAACCTGTATGTTAATGGACTTCTACACAGTTCCTAAGCCGATGGACACCGAGTCTTTCTTTCCAAACCTTTGCACATTCTGACCACGGGTAAGTTCTCCAAAGCCGAAATATTTTCAGGGGGGAAGAGGACGTGCTCTTCAGCTTGGTGGTAGCCAGGCCTCAGTTTCGGAATGCTCCCACTCTGCTTGCTTTGCTAATGAAGCTTTTCAGGAGGTCGTGGTCCATTTCTGCAAAGCCTTGAGTTTGTGTAACAACAGTTAAATGGTTTATGCAAAATCTGAAGCAAAATTCTTCCAAGTCCTAGGAACAAATTGAGGTAATTTGTAATATGAATGACTGACAGCAGAATTATTATTTTTTCCATTTCAAATCTGCAATTTAATATGCCAGGTTGTGCACATTACCAATACTTTTTCTGGTCAATTTGATTAGATCACAAATTAGATAGGATGAAATTTGTTCATACAAACTATTCAATAAATCCTCTTTAAGAAAACAGGAGTAGTCATCTAGATTGACTCTAGAACTCCATTACATTTACTGAGTTCATTAGAAAACTTATTAATAAGTGAAAGCATCAACTTTCCCCACACACAACTACTAGAGCATCAGTAACTCCCTAATCTTCCTCCCTGCACTGAATTCACCAGTGGTCCTGGGAAAAACAGCAGGTATCCTCGTCTTGCTTTAAAATAAAAGCAAAATATGACGTAACATCCGATGATGCTCGCTGAAGACAAACTAGGTGTTAGAGGATACATCTGTCTTTCATGGCAAACCTGGGAATTGTGTCCCCTCGTCTAGGAACTGGGATTCCTAGATAACAAAACCAGTCCTGTCTGTTTCAGATATTCAGCACAGGACAGGTACAAGCCATTAAGCCACACAACTGTGATTTCACACAGGAAATTTTGCCCACTCAAGACTCCTCACAATGATGGCAATCCTTCTCTCCATCCACTGGAGAAGAAGAACCACCCCTTTAGCTGGTTTCTATGCAACAATTTGCTGTTGAGGGAAAATCTATTACCTCTGCAGCAATTAGAGCTGGAGCCAGCAGCAATGTCTAAATTGTCTGTCTAAATTGGCAGTATGGATCCATGATCTATAAACTCTTCAAGGGTTACAGCAAAAAAGAGGTCTCTTAATCCATGCCAGTTTTATTTTATATTAACTACACAAAGATTGCAGCCAAGGATTAATAGCAGAAATTCAGGAGAATACCTGCGCCTTTCCCTTTGAAACCTTTTCCTTAGATTGAACGTTTCAAATCTACTGCCCCTGCCCAGGTGTAACTGGAGTTTTAATAGGGGCCAAGCAGCACAAGATATCCTTTAAAGAGAAATAAGGTACCAGCAATGCACAGAAGTATCTTGTATCTCTCATCAAAAAGTACTGGAAAAGCAAGAAAAGGAATGAGAACAGAAAAAGAAATAAAAAAATGTGGAAGATCAAAGACACTGACAGATTTAAGTTTCAGCAGATCTCTGAAAGGCTACTGCCGGAACCTGGGTTGCTTCACAGTCACTGTATGAACTTTTACACTACATAAAATGAACAGCAGCTGCCCTGTCTGGTACTGATCATAGTATCGTAGATATCGCAGATACCACAGATATCATAGAATCCTGGTCACTAATTTTGCAGTTTCAAGAAATACCGGCTTCTAATTCTGTTATCTAGAAGATGAATCTAAGATATGCTACAATGTGTATTAGAAATCTGCTTTAAAATCACTTGTAACAGCAAGTCTTTGTATTTTCTGAGGATAGGACAAAATAGTTTCAAGCATTTTTAATCCTAACAGATGCATACAACAGCCAAGTCAGTCATCAGTTAATTTGATATGTTCATGGCAGAGGACACAGCACTATGATCTTCCACTTGTAGTGTTCATATTTAATGACAAAGAATTTAATTAATTCTACCTTTTCAAACTTCCAAAATCTTAGGCCTCTCTCATAATCCTTTGGATTCAGTTTTCTACTGAAGTGCACATGTTCTCAAACCAATTTTTACTACGTTAAGGCAGTGTGCTAAAAGATCCTGGCTTACTTCACAATTCCTTAGGCAGAGACTATCCCCAGTCTTTAATAAAGAAGTCTCTGCTGTGATTCCCTGAAGCAGCTCTGCTCTATCCCTTTCTGAGCTGTGGGTGTAGGGAGGAGCTTGGCACATGCTGCGCTCAGGGCAGGTGAACCAATTCATCATCTGATGATGGTTTTAATTTGAAACAACACTAGGTATAGAAAGTAAAACACTGATTCATAGAAGGAAGAGGAGGATAACGTATATTTAGTCACCTAGCCAATCACTTTTATTGCGTTTCAGCCCATTATCAACTCTAGTACTTTGTCCAGACTAGTTTTACTGCTTCACCTGACACAGGTCAACTAAAGGTACTTCTGCTTTGAAGAGATTCAAAACTGTTGAAAAGCTTCTAAGAGGAAAAACTCCGGAGTGAACTTTTAATGAAAACTGCTGTTAGGAGACTCAAACCATTTGGTGCTCCCTTCCTGTCCGGTCTTCCCTGATATTACAGGCTTCTACCATCACAACACACAAAGTACAATTCCTCTTTGCCTCAGCTGTTCATGGCTCCCGTTACTTATGCCTTGGTTACCAGGCAGTTGTAACCGGCCGCTGATAATCTCATTATCTTCTAATCTGATGTTATCCCCTCTTTCAATTTACAGAATTCACTGACTTCCGGGCCTCCTCTTTGCAACTCCTACACAAATTCATCCCGTCAAGCGCGCTGCCTCCATACAGCACAGACGGCTGCAGCAATTGCTAACTCAGTTTTTGTTTCAGTCCCTTCCTTCTACTTGCTTTCTGTACCTGGAACTCTTTATCAATCCATTGCATTACACTTCTAGCCTCTCCTCCTTTAAGGCTTTCCTACATTTCACAGCCAGACAAAAGCAAAAAACCAAGTATTTTTAAAAAACATTGTTACCAGCTACGTATTTTGGCTAATAAATCTAATAAATCATATTTATCCTAATAAATCTTCTGTTTAGCTGTATTAATTTTATTATTGTAAAACACAAGAAATCTTGAACAGAAAGATGAAGACTTCTCAGCTACAATGCTCAGTTTTAACACCAGCCTAAAATACATACGCAGATTTTTTGACTAATAAAAACCACCACATCATTATTTCCACAATCAGGACAGCACTAAGAAGCTGAAAAAAGGAAAATATCTTTGAAAATATTTGCCTGTTTACAAAAAAAAGAGTGCTTATTGTAGTGCTGATAACTGGCTGAGTGCTAGTGAAACATTCCAGAGCCAAGGGCAGACCAGATGACAGGATATGGGGAGAGGAATAACAATAGGTAATTTGTTTTATGTCAGCACAATTCGTTGTAAACAGCATAGCAAGAGTGGATTTTTTTTTTATTTTTTTTTTTAATAGAAGCATAAGTGTAAATAGAGATGTGCTTTACAGGTAAATTCTCCCACTGCCTGTAAAAGGTGGTACTGGAATGACTGTACCAGACACCAGCTCAGGAAGTGAGCAGGCAACACAAAATCCAAAGGTGAAGAAGTAAATAGTGGTGAGGAATGTGCATGCCATGCCATGCCCTGCCAGACGACACGACAGGAAGCAGATTAAAAATCCCAACTCACAGGTGCAAGCCCAAAGACCAGGAAGAAATCACCAGTAGCTGCAATTCTTTTTTTTTTTTTTTTTTTTAAATAGCTTAAAAAAGGGGAAAACAAACATTTGGGACATGAAACTGCAGTAGTCATGCCTCATCAGTTAAATGCAGTTATGTTTGTATTAAATAATTTCATTTCTCAGAAACCAACTGCCTGAAGAGAAATTCTTCTTACCTGAGCTTCATATTTGACAGCGGCGGAGAGAAGAGCAATGGCATTCTCTTCGCAAATGCCTTGTTTGATCGTTTGCTGACAAAGCTTTTTCAATCTGTTTTCTCTATACAGCGTTGCCAAATCTAGGAGACCTGTGAAAATCCACACAGCTTTAACGATCCTGGTGCAAAACATATTAATTCTCTTCAAATTAATCAGTTACCCTATTGTTTTAGGTTGAATCAATCAATGACTTCTTATATTACTTTTTTCCTACATGATGTGTGCATTTTTAAAGGTCCTCAAAAGACATATTAAAAAGGGACCCTTTTATTACTATGCAATTGTTCTGTCTTTTTGTTCACTGTTTTGTATCTCATTCCAGGTTTATTAGGTAATTAGTGACTTACATCCTCTTAAATTCACATGGGGAAGAGCTCCCTTTTCATTCATGATCAAATCACCACAGCTACTCCAACAGAAAAGTTCTAGGATGATGGCATTAGTGCCTTTTTAAGGAAAAAAAAAAAATCTTAATATGAGAAACAATGAGTTCTTTTTGAAGACTTTGCATCTTTGAACTTATTGCCTCCCCACCACTCATCCTCCTTGGGCAGCATGTTTCCTGCTACCGCATCCCTTCTTCTTCACACCTGCCAAAGATTTAAGTGCTAATAAAATTAAAATAAATAAACCCTGCCTCCCTCACCCTGTTATAACAAACAAATTGAACTTTTCAGAAACAGTAACCTAGAGTTATTTCCATTTATGGCAAATACCTATTGCATCTTCAGGAGGGAGCCTGATGTTGTCTGTATACAGGTATTCCAGGAAGGCTCGGTAAACAGGATAAGAAAATTCACTCATTTCTATAACGTCATCATCATTATTCAGTATGGAACGAAAATGTTCACACCTACAAAACATGGACAAAGATTGCATACTGTAAAGTGTTAAGCTTGAAAGATAAGCTGCAGCTACAAGTTGGTAAAAAAAATAATAATCAGTCATTACAGACTAAATACACAACCACAAATTCTAGCTACATGATTTCTTGGTTTGAAAATCTTAATTTCTTCAAGCCCTATAATGTTCATAAGCCTCATATATATAACCCATAATTTTCCTTTATTTCTGTTATGAATGTTTTAAAGAAGGCTCTAGTTCTACTTACAATATCTTGTAATATACTTACAATATCTTGTAATATAAGATGTCCCATGTGTTTTTGATGTCCTTTTCTTAAATACGTTATACATTAACTATGAATTTTATTACCTGGCTCGTAACAGATAAGGTTTACGATAAAGTTAGACAATTTCCACATTTCAACCTGCTTTCTCCAACACAATCTAGTGAGGCAGTAATTTATTAATAATTTAGATAACATTTATTCCAGTGTCAGAGGACACGGACAATTTAGCATTAATCATTATACTCAAGGATTAAAATATTTAAAGTGAAGACATTCTCACCCAGATCCTCCATCACCTTCCTCTTGTAAGTCTGAATACTTCTGTGATGGACACGATACAAACAAGGAAAAAGCACTGCCTGCCTTTCACAGCTGTACTCTGCAACTTCACAGCAACTTACAACGCACTGTAACTTACTGCTCCTTAAAAAACATCCTGTAACGTTTGAATTGTTTTCAAAATGCTTGCTGACGGAAATGACCACCACCAGCTCAGGTAACTTTTCCTATAACGGCCACAATTTAACTGTGGCTTTGGTAATACTCCACTTACTTTCTAACTCACACACATCAGAATTTGCTTTTCTTTTACTAAAGTTTTTATGTAAAAGGTAGGTTGGTTTCCTTTTAATGATGCTGGGACAGGTCTACATCGTAAAGCCAGCATAACTTAGATACAAATGAAAGAGAATTATTTATTTTATCACTCAATTTACCTTTTCCACATTTGATTTTACTGGTTATTTAAAGAATTTTTTCTTAGATTTTATTTTTTAATAAAATAAATAAACATCAAATTCATAAAGGATTAAAAAGTCATTATCTGGCTTCTGCTCCCTCTTGTACCACATTCTGGCATTGGAAGAGGCAGACCAGACCCCATTGCTTTGTTTCCCGGAGCCTCACATTAAGTGCTGGTGACTGTGCTCTCCATCCAGCTGTGGAACAGACCTTGGGAACGGTCTGTTGCCCCAATGCCACCACCCAAAAGCAAGAAGTCAGAGAGAAGGTGGTACATATTGCTCCCTTAAAAATAAATAAGTAGATAAATATAAAAACCACTTGGTATTCATCCTTCAGTCTCCAAAGTATCTTGGAGCGACTTATCCTTTGGAGTGCCTCTCTCCCTCTCTCTATCTCTCAGTAGAGACAGACCAGATACCTAATTTTGGCTGGTTAAATGCAGAGCAAATGAATCCCACCCACACACTCACATGTTTCTGTTTCTGCAGGCAGTATGTTTCCTGGCCAGCCTCTCACCGAACAGAGCCTTGCCCTGCCATTTCACCACCACCACCAGATAATAACCACCAACAATATCTTTTAGTTCAGCAGCAGGCATAGAACAAGATGGAAAAAAGTCTTCACCATAAGTAGTAAAGAAATGACTGGATAAGGAAAAGGAACTTTTAGCAGCACTGCATTCATGACAACGCTCTGGAACAGGCTGAATGTTGCAAAATACCATGTTAAATACATTATCCTCTGATCCAGTTGCACCATGAAACTACAAGGCTTAAAGAAAATATTAAATCTACTAACTGTGCCTGATGCTTTATTATTCCTGCATAATATTTTGATAATAGCAGACACTTAAACCCATTTTAGAATTAGACACATTTCCTTCAAAGAATGCCATATAATCTAAGAAGAGTACAGCAAGGAAAAAAAAATAAGGAAAAGTTACTTCTAGACTGATTATCAGGAAAACGAACCTCAGAAACATTTTGGGGACACAGAAGATTTGAAGTGACACCTAATGAGAAACACGTGGCATTCCAAACAAAAAGGGTGGACTATAGGCACGAATGCAATGTACAAGCAATGAAAACAGCAAAGGGAAGAAAATAGTAATACAGGTAACTGGAGTAGTAAGAGGAGAGCAGAGAAGACCTAAAAAAGGCAGGCAAGGATTAACAAGGATCTTTATTCAGGAATATACAAGAAATCACTAATGAACTCAGAAGCAAAAGTAGGAAGAAAGTGGTGATTAACAGGATGAGATAGCCAAACATTTTGAGAAAAAAAAATAGCAAAGAGAAAAAACTATTGTAAGGATGTGAAGGATGGAGCAAAAGGAGTTAGCAAGACAGAAGAAATCTAAAGCAGTGTCTCTAGAATATCCTAGTAGAAGCTGCGTCAGCAATAACAAACAAATCTCTGCATGTTAATAATAACGTAATTACTCTATTGATATGTGTATGCCAATCTCGCTGTAAAGTGGTGTTAACTTGGAAAAAGCTGTAAAACAAATAGAGAAACTAGCTTAAAAGCTTGTCAAATACGCTGGTAAGAAGGTTTAAAACAAGCAGGATAAAAAATCTGACAATAAATCTGACAAAATTGGTTTAGTGATGGTTTTGGTCAGTGTTAGGTTGATGGTTGGACTCGATGATCTGAAAGGTTCCTTCCAACCTAGACAATTCTATGGTTCTATAATTCTATGAAAGAATAAAAAGATAGTCTAAAGAGTACCTACAGAAGTTTCTGGAACAACTGAAGCATCTTGTCGAAGGAAAGAAAGGCAAGAATTAACACAAAGCCCTCAAATCATCCCAGTGGAGAAAGCCAAGCATGCAAAGGAGGAAAAACTGATTCAAACTACTGGGAAGGCAGCAGAAAGAAGTGAGCCTTTTCCTCAGCAGAAAAAGATTATTAGAAATCAGGGCCAAGGCACAAAGGTAGCCCAAAGGAGCTAGCCCAAAGGAGGACACACTTCAGATGGAGGGAAGTGATGAAAAGGCTGGTAGCAAGCAGCATGTTTGGAATTCCAAGCAGATAGGAAATGAGGAAAAGAGAGTAATGGTGAAGAATAGCAGGTGAAATGCACAGCTGAGGGAAAAGGGAGTTTATAAGTCAAGAATTTTGAGCAGTAATTACTCAGAACATTGGACAACCTCAGACAGTTTAATTAAACTGCACAGTCCTTACCTAATTTTGAGAAGAACTTTATGAACATGAATGTATTTTCCATCCACTAGAAACTTCAGGTCTGCGGTATCGGGGTTGTCAAATTCCTTCTTTAGTGACTGGGCTACTGTTAGATGGTCATCAGGCTCTAGAATAAAACGGGGAACTCATAGTAAGTAATAAGTAATACAAGTATCTCTCACTATAACATCCTGGGTATCTGCCAGCAATTAACACTCTTAATTAATACGACATCTCTTTAAGGATAGTATAAAAACACAGCAGACTATGTGGTCAGTTTGATACACAAAAAGCAAATAAAGGGCAGCTTTCTTCAGTCCTTACTAGCTTCCTACTCCAAACAAATATCCCTATTAAAGAGAAGTAAGTGCCACTCCTCTATTGGTTGCTGTGAAACTGCCCAGTACAATATCCCTAACAGTAAATAACAGTTACAAGTCTGTTCAAAATGTGTTTTCCCTGGACTTATGATGTGTGTGGAAGTCTGCATATTCCTGTTTGTGTCATGTGTGTGTACACCCCACTCTGCAGGTGACACTTGCATTATAAAGTTACCAAACAGCCTTGAAAAGTCATCCATTGTCTACATACAAATTTTTCTCTCTTGAACCGTTTCCAAATCTCCATCATATTTGGTAGCCTCAGAGAACTCTTCTTTAATACTACTAAAAAAAATAACCCCCCAAACCTAATTCTTAGCCCAGAAAACATTTTGTCTTCTTACCATATAAACACACATTATTGGTTTATACAAATTTTGTGGGTCAGTAATAGCTGTTCTCTAGAGAAAATTATATAAATGCTAGGTCTTGTAACCTACCACGCTAGAAACAAGAATAGCGTTCGGCTGGAAATGGAAAGACCTTCACCACATGTTCCAGAAAAAACTTAACACACACACAGTTTGATACTGTTACACTTTGTTTAGCACAATTATTTTTCATTTAATTGAAAGGATGTCACTTATGTTCAGGTATACCCAATTAGGGCAATAATTATTGAAGTCTGTTGGACTACAGGTAGGATCGGGGGGAGGAGAAATCCAATGTAGTGACAATAAAAAATCCTTCTGAAATAAAATAATTTGTTCTTATTTCGTACAATGTAGTTTATTTATTCAGATATCTGCTATCCAAATAAGTAAAAATTTTAGCAACTAATGCAACACTGAAGCTCTTCTTCAAAGTTAACTGGGGATTCAGACGTCCACCAATACGCATCTCCAGATGACTTCTACAGCCAGCAGAGGTGAACTGAATATAATGGGGTTCAGTTATGAAAATCTTAGAGGGTAAAGAGGTGCTTTTATTTGTTACAGCAGTGAAGGGGGAACCAGAGGAAGGAAACAAAGAGGCAGTTCACACTGACGAGGCACAAAGCCAAGAAAACTCCTCAGCAGTCAGTGCTGAGAATTGTAATGGGAATGCTAGAATGGCCACAAAGGGGGAATGAACACGAATGCCTGGGTGTGGGATACGGAGAAGGGCTGTAAGCATGGCAGATGTCCACGGCACCCCGTCCAGCAGATGTCAAGATCCTAGGATGCAGCTGCCTGATGATTTCCACCACAGTCAGGAGACAAACAGCAGTGAGTCAGTCCTGATGACTTGCCAAGGTGGGACAGGATGAAGAGACTAGTCATTCCTAGCTCCTAGAGCATGCTAAAGGGCACATCTGAAACCAGCAGTCAACAAATCCAGAAGACATGATGAGGGCCTGATAGCCAGCATCCTTTATCCTGTGTCATCACAAGGAACCCTGCTCAGATCACATTTCAGTGCCAGGATGCTGGAGAGATCACTTGGCACATGCAAGAATGTGGGTTTGAAAGTGCATCTGAAATCAGTTTTGCTTAACCATGAAATAATCTTTTACTCCTGTAAGGTTTCACCTTGTGCTACAGCACTGCAACATTATTTACAAAGGGACAGAGAAGTCAAGGTCAAAAAACAATAATAAAAGGAGCTGCTACAGTCAAAAAGGACTCCCAAGGTAAGAAGCAGTACAAGGAGGCTGGGTGTATTGATCATGGTGGGGATATGATGAGGGTGGGGAATGGTGAGGTGAGGGAGGTTGGGAAATAAAACTGAAAAAGGGGAAATTTAGATTAAATATTAGGAAGAAATTCTTTACTGTGAGGGTGGTGAGACACTGGAACAGGTTGCCCAGGGAAGTTGTGGATGCCCCATCCCTGGAAGTGTTCAAGGCCAGGCTGGATGGGGCTTTGAGCAACCTGGTCTGGTGGGAGGTGTCCCTGCCCATGGCAGGGGGGTTGGAACTCGATGATCTTTAAGGTCCCTTCTAACCTGAACCATTCCATGAAACAGTTATGAATGTAGTCTTAACCACACTGTGTTAAAGAGAGTGAGTATCTATGAGTATTAAGGAGCAATATGCTGATTAATAAATGGGTTACTTGGAAGTCTTCAACATAAAGGTGATAATTACATGAGTGATCATATATAATCCTACTCAGGACTCTCTTAGACTTAGTTATCTTCTCTGTGAGGAATGAAATAAAGAAAGAGGCAGTTTTTGCTTCTTGCCTTCCTCCACTCTTTGAAAAATTCCTTTATACTCTGCACTAAACCGAGAAGAAATCGCAACAGAAAAAGAGAAGGGGAAATTCTGAGATAGCATGAAGTAATATTTTAACTCGGCAAGAAGAAATGGAAGCTGAAGAGCCCCAGAACCCTACCGATGTACATAAGAAGATACTTATAACTGAATTTATGCTTAAGCTACATATACTAATAATGTCCCATTTCCTTCATAAAATAAGCAATTCTTAAAGAAGAAAAATCTGAATATACTACAGATATTTTTATGTAGAACTTACAACTGACAAACAGATATTCACATGGAATGAACTACCCCATTGCCTGGAATTTTGGTGCAGTAATACAATTTACATCTAATTAGTAGTAGGCAAATATTAGGAATATTAAGAATTTTCACAGTAATTAAGCATACATCTTACAGCTCTGAACAAGCCACAACAGCCTCAGCCTAGAGAAAATGACGATCTTTGGACTGTGCCCTAAAAACATGCATTTTTGGCAATGTACTTTCCTGAGAACAAGATTCTCCATTTAATCCTCTAGTGTCTCAAAGCTGAAATATGAGTACTATTAGCAGAATTTCCTTACCTTGGCATCCAGAAGGCACCAAGGGAGCAAAGAGTGTTCTACAATCATCAGACAAAAGCATACAGTAACACAAAAGCAATTACAAAGGCAGTACAGAAGTGGAATGGAAGCATGATGGACTCAGTACAGTTCAAATTACAAATTAACGAGTCGCTGCTCTCTAGCTTTGAGCTTAAGCTCCCAGATGACACCTACAGACAACCCCAAGAGTCTCATCGTTGATTAGGTCAGCAAAGCCAGTAACTTTATTAGCAACCCATACGGAATTGAATTTCTAGCTGAAGAATGACTTCTCTGTGAGACAATGTTGTACATTCTAACTCTTTCTAGTCAAGGGCAGCAAGAAAGACCCTATGTTAATCAAATATCTGAGATTCAGCAACTTGTCTCTTCAGAAGCCCAGGTCATGATCGCTTGTGATGAGACTCTAAGTGCCTGTGGCCAATTCTCAGCATGGGAATTTGGCTCCCTCAATTCTTAGTAGTCTACTTAAAGGCACCAAAGAAAGCTTCAGGGTTCCTAAATGTTCTGCATGGCCCCCTCAAGTCTCCAAACTCAAATTCAGCTTCTCCACCCATGGAGTTACAGTAACATTCAGTAGTTACATTAAAAAAAACCAACTCCCCAAACCCAAGGCATTTCCCCACAGAAATAAACCACATCAATAAAACAGACAACATTTAGCACTGCCAGAAGACCTTAGCAATTTTTACAATTCCATATTACCATTTATGCATATGTAATATATGGTTACGATTACGCTTCCCAGTAGAAATTTTTGCAAGAAACTAAGTTTAGGCTTCAAACACGTGCCACGGGTTTATGCGCTAATGACCCTACTTAGAAGATCATCAAAACAAAAAAATATTTAAGCTCACCTACTGATAGAAGACGCCACGTAACGGCGGGGGTGGCAAAGCAAGCAAAGACATCGTCAGTGCAGGCAAAGTGTGTGAGGTGGGGAAGGATCACCGACTGCCCACGGCACTGGCCCCACATGTAGACCTGCCCGCTCTGGGTCTTGGCAGCCGACGTGTGAGCGGAGTGGCAGGCTGCAATCTCTATAACTCTGAATTTACAAGCAAACAAAGGAGGGGGAAAAAAAAAAAAAAAAAAAAAAGAGCAAGTCACTCTCACAAGAACAAAACACAGCGAAGAAGCTCACTACCTCCCGTCTTTCCCCACTGCAAAAAACGTATTTGTAAGCGTGCAAGTGCCTCCAAAGGGCAAGAATGTTTTCCCAAATTAAAAGGGCTATCAATGTTTCTTCACATAGCGTGCACTCAGAAGGATTCTCAGTGAAAAAGCATCTTGGGATGAGTGAGGAGACAGTGTTGCAGCAGAGCAGGGTATCTACCCAGCACATGCTCTACCGACCCCCTCGGCTCCCTCTAACAGAGCTCTGATGATTTTCAAAGTCTCTGAATGCCCTCTGTGGTGCTGGGCAGTGAGGCGAGTGGCTGCATTAAGCTGTAGGGAATGGGTACTTGGAGAAGATGAAGAAGGAAATGAAGAGACATTTAAAAAAAAAAAACACCCCAAAATAAAAAGAAATTTGAATTTTGCCTTATAACTGAAAGTCAAGAAAAACTTTTTCCTGCTTGCCTATTCCTAACAGTTATAAACCAACAATTTAAACATACTTCTTTTAATTAAAATACTGAAGTGTCATTACTAATACAAATATTATTACTTAAGTTTAACAGACTTTCATTTGAAAATCAAAAATCGGAACCAAGCAGCACTAAAAGCTGTTTCTAAGTGTATTATAGCTGTGTTAGGCTATCTCACTAATCCCAAAGTTGATTTAGGATTTCAAAACTCCCACTGTGTACAACATTACACAATCCAGTGTTTTGCAGCCCGAATCACAGCTTGTTTACTGGCTTTCCCAGCCGCCTGGGGAAAATAGCTGGGAAAACAACTTGTTTAAAGCTGTATGTACAAATCTTGCAGGCCTTTGTGAGGTAATATTCTCATTGACAGCAGGAATGCATATTCTGGCCAACAAAAGGGAAAGGCAGCATACAACAGTAAAACTCCTATTAAAATGTGGTAACATTTTCACCACAGCCAAAGCGGCTGGACAACATTCAGTTACATTTTAAGCAAAAGCAAAAAAACAAACCATACATAAAGAAAGAGCAACATTCAAAAACAGGCCATGTCTCATCACCAGAGAGGAGTTGGCTCTTCCTTACAGTAAAGTACACAGACACAAGTTTAAGAGGGACATCTCAGTTTTCTTACTATTCACAACAGGAGGCCGAAATCAAGGCCTCGGTAGTAAGGAATAGATTCACATTTCTGGCCACATATATACTTAGCTTGATATTAGCATTAGAAATAACTGCCCCACTACACATGAAGAACTTAGAGAAAATTATTTAACTTGTAAAAATCTAAGCTTAATTTTCAGGCAACAATACCAAGTAAGAACTCTTCCCTCTCTCTCTCCTGGGTTATGAGCCGGATTTAACAGCAGAAATAACACAAATTGCAGATGCCCACTCTTCACTATTTGTGTGTGTACTGCTTGTCAAAAGTACCATATTAAAATACAATTTATATTCAGAGCCAATAAAGCTTTTATTGTTGACTTCAAACAATGAAACTACACCACTGCAGAAAAACTGCAATTAAGGCCTATAAAGCACAGTGTGAGCTGAAGCAGAAAATAGCACATTCAGAACATCCAGTTTCTCTTTCACGAGGATAGTTATAGGGCAGATTCAGGCACTTTCAGTGAAAATTCTATTCACATTTAGCAGAAGAACCATTGCAAAAAATTATAGGCTATTTCTTCCAAAAAATAGATTAAAAATGCCATAATTTTCTGTAGCTGTTCTGAGAGTAAGCCAACTAATGTCTGACTGCAAGACCATAAGTATTACCTGTCCTTATCCACAGTAACTGTTGTAGGGTAAGACTGGTTGCTTTTATTCCCAGTACCTAACTGGCCATATGAATTGGCTCCCCAGGCATAAATCTGACCTTCATCTGTTAGCACTAACGTATGTGCGTAGCCACAGGCAACCTATAAGGAATAACAAAAAGAAAAATCTCATTTATATGTAACAGTAAGTTAATACAGATAGATACATATAATGCCATACGTTAATATTATTGATTCTATACCAGTGTAAGAATTACAATATAAATACAGATAAGATTATTAAAAAGGGAAGCAAAGTTGATGCGGTGACTTTGAGGAAAAAACGTATCGGTGAGGAACCCTGCCAGATAATCTCACAAGTACAGCAAAAGATCAGCTAGAAATTGAGAAAGAAGGAAAGCTATATGACAAATAGGAACAGTATGCAGAAAAAAATGCAGAAAAAGGCAGATCATCTGTCTGTCTTGCACTGACCTTGCTCTATGGGCCACTGCTGCAATGTGAAAAAGCTTACCAGTGTAAAAACAGGCAAGGTCTCCCTATCCGTTCCTCTCCTCCCTGACTGCCAGCCACACAAAACTATCCCCTCCCTGTGCCCGCTCTAGTGCTCACCGGACCCTCTGCTGAGATAACTTCCATCACTGGAAGGAAAGTCTCCGCAGCTGGGCCCGAGGACCACCAGTGCCCACAGAAGGTAAGCAACAGCAGTAGCCAGCCAGGAAAGAGAGGGAAGACATTAACCTTTCCATCCTGATGGCAGCACACAACTGCATCAGCTCTTACCCTCTAGTGGAAACCCACTCGGTCCTGAGCCTGAGCTGCCTCCTCAGGTACCTCCATGAAGCATGTGATTGCTTTAGTTGAAATAAATCCTTAAGTTATTTACTGATTGGAGGTCTACAACTTGGTACTAATCGATACCAAGTGGATGGAAATATCATCTAAGTCAAACTTACTGGAGCAATCGCTCTCTAAGCAGGAGAATAAATAGAGAGCAAAATAATATTCACTTTATTATATTCTTCTCCAACAGCAATTGTTACCAGCAAAACTACTGTCTACATCCTATGAACTGAATGTAAAACTATGTAAGTGTAATAGCAAATCTATATGTAATGTAAATGTAATAAATGTAATAAATAGTAAATGTAACAGATAGGTATTATCTTAGTAAATGTAATAAATAGGATCCAAAGTTCAAAACACTCTTGTAAATTTCCACTAGGTTACAAAATCAATGCTTCCTAGCAGAATGTATAATTTCCCTGACAGTATCCTATGTTTTTGATAAATCAACCAAATATTTCAGTATCAGTTCTTGCAGTTACTTTAAATATTTCTTTTCTTTAAGGTCCCTTCCAACTCTAACCATTCTATGATTCTATGATTATCAAAGAAGTTATCAATTCACTCATTACACTGATGACAGCCCAGCTATTTGCTGAAGTGTAATAGCCGCCCAAGGTCAAGACTAACCATGGAATCATCCCAACTGTTGACCAACTGTGGTCAGAAACAATTTGTTCAGACTCCAAACACCAGTTAGTCACTGTGGCCAGAGTGCCATTCTAAAAGTAATATTCAGTCTGCCAGAAAGACAAAATGCTAATCTGCAGCATTTTCGCAGAAAAGAAAAACAGACAGGGGTTCATGAAGAATGGGGTACCCAATGAAAACTTTCTTATTTACTAAAATAACAGGAATTATTTTAAGTTTCACAGGGAAAAAAAAAGACCAAATATTTCTAATGGCCTAGTCCTCTTTAAGGAAAATCCTGACCTCACTGAAGTCAATGGCAAAATTCCCACTGAATTCCAAAGGGTCACAGTTTCTCTCCTGCTGACAAGAAGTCCATTTTAAGATATACGTGTTTTTATTCTGATAAATGGCACTTTAAGCAAAGAGGTAGAGGACTATCTCCTTTAGACGCAGAATGTGTGCCTGAGCCTGTTGTCATAGAGGGTTTGAGACGGAGTGTCCCACGCGTACCCGCTGGACGCGAATGCCTTGCAGAGCTGCGATTCGGCACGGAGTCGGCTGATTCCCACTGCTGCCCAGTCCCAGCTGCCCATTCCCATTGTAGCCCCAGACATAGACCTGAGGAACAGAGACAGGGATTTTAGTCATAAGAGTGATAGTCATAGAGTTGGCCAGGCCGGAAGGGACCTCCAAAGGTCATCTAGTCCGACCTCCCCGCAGTCAGCAGGGACACCCCCAACTAGACCAGATTGCCCAGGGCCTCGTTGAGCCTCTCCTTGAATATCTCCAGGGAAGGGGCCTCAACCACCTCCCTGGGCAACCTGTTCCAGTGCTCCACCACCCTCCCAGTGAAGACCCCTCTCCTCATCTCCAGTCTAAATCTGTTCCCCTCCAGCTTGAAGCCATTGCCCCTCGTCCTGTCACTGCAGGCCTTTCTAAACAGGTTCTCCCCAGCCTTCCTGTAGGCCCCCTTCAGGTACTGGAAGGCTGCTATTAGGTCTCCCCGGAGCCTCCTCTTCCTCAGGCTGAACAACCCCAGCTCCCTCAGCCTGTCCTCGTAGCAGAGGTGCTCCATCCCCCTGATCATCCTCGTGGCCCTCCTCTGGACCCTCTCCATCAGGTCCATGTCCTTCTTATATTGAGGGCTCCAGACCTGCACACAATACTCCAGGTGAGGTCTCACCAGAGCAGAGTAAAGTGGCAGAATCACCTCTCTGGACCTGCTGGCAACGAATCTTTTGATGCAGCCCAGGATGCGATTGGCCTTCTGGGCTGCAAGTGCACACTGCCTGCTCATGTCCAGCTTCTCGTCCACCAGCACCCCCAAGTCCCTTTCCTCAGGGCTGCTTTCCAATACCTCACCCCCTAGTCTGTACTGATGGTGAGGATTGTTCCGGCCCAGGTGCAGAACCTTGCATTTGCTCTTGTTGAACCTCATGAGGTTCACCTGGGCCCACCTCTCCAGCCTGTCCAGGTCCTTTTGGATGACATCCCATCCCTCTGGTGTATCGACAACACCACACAGCTTGGTATCATCCGCAAACTTGCTGATGGTGCCTTTAATCCCCCTCTCTATATCATTGATAAAAATGTTAAACAGTATTGGCCCCAGCACGGACCCTTGAGGAACACCACTTGTGACTGCTCTCCATCTGGACTTTGAGCCATTGAGTACCACCCTCTGGATGCAACCATCTAGCCAGTTCCTTATCCACTGAACAGTCCACCCATCAAATCCGTACCCCTCCAATTTGGCAATCAGGATGTTGTGGGGGACCGTTTTTTAACTGTTTGCTACTGTCCACTTCTTCTGAAAGCAACGTTAACTACTTCAGACTTAAAGTAATATTTTTCTTCAGTATTTCCTATCCCCACATCTTAGGACCTATACTTATATATATAGATACACACAAACACACACATATATATACATACACATATATATATATACACACAGACATACATATGTTTTCCTGTACCAGAAATTTTGGATGCTGCTTCTGTTTAAAATACCACCTGCATGCTCATCTAAAATTCTAAACCTGCATGTTCATGTTGCTTTTTAAGACCTAGATTATGTAAGACTGCAATATTTTAATACAAAGACTAGAAAATAAACGGTTCATATGGTTGTTTCCCAGCACGGAACAAATTCAGCATGAATGCTTCCCTTTTTCCAAGACCTAATTTCTCATTCAGAAATCCTCTAACAGGAAACACACTACAGTATATACAAACTGGAAGCCATGTGCAACAGTTTGAGTAGGCTGTTAACAGCTCTACGCTGAACATAAGAAAAAAGGAAAATATTGAGCTCTGGCAATTTCAGTGACATATGTTCTTCTGCAAACAGCTGATAGCTACTTAGGTCTAAACTGAAATGATTGGAGTGATGGAGCTAGAGAGGAGGTATGTTCACCAAAATCTTCAGCTCAAATGAATTAAAACAGCAAGAACACTAAAACCTATTCATATCTTTGTAATGAGGATTAAAAAAGTATGAGGTGGATTCAAGGGGTATTGCAGTATAACAAACATATGCCATGTACTTTTATTTTCTCTGTTTTCTCTTGATACTTGAATTCCTTCAACTCAAAGCCAAGTTCAATAGTTGACACAAAGTAACAGCTGCTAAATTTCATGAGTGATCTCACAAACCAAGAAGCCATAACCCAAATATTAGTGAACAGTTTTCCTTGTTTCTCTCCACCTCCTTTCTAAAGAAAAAAACATAATCAGCATGATGAGGAAGATGTGCATAAGTATGTCAGAACGTGCAGGATAATTTAGGACAATGTTTCTTACAGGCAGTATAAGCAGATAGATTTGACATAGTCTGGAAATGTAGACCTCTTTTCTGAGTAGTAGCTCATTGCTGACAGGTTTAAAATTATCTATATCCCATGATATTACATAAAATAAAATTCAGGCAGAAAAGTTACTTAAAATTTCTTACCTCTCCATTTTCCACCACAGCCATAGAGCACATCTGCCCACAAGCTATATTAACTACTATTTTGTTTTGTAGGCAGCTGGTAACTCTTCGAGGAATTGGTTGATTAGCTGTTGAACCAGATCCAACTTGTCCTGAGTTATTATAACCCCATGTGTATACCTCTCCATCAGATGTTAACACCATAGAATGATGAGAGCCGCAGGCAACTTCAATGACTTTCTTGTTCACCAAATTAGTAGATACTTGACAGGGAACGAAACCATGATTTGTTGTACCATTGCCCAACTGACTATAAGCATTATGACCCCATGTATAGACTTCTCCTTCTGTAATAAAAATGTAAAAAGCTGATTTAAAATCTCTATTTTTCTAATGAGTACATGACACAAAATTACAAACTGAAATGTCAAATCCAATAACAATATACATATTTAAGTGTATATAACATATATATATATATATACACACACACACCCTTTGGGACTCTTAAGCCCATGGACACACTGATGCTACCTTCATATAGTGTTGACAACAAATACAAAAGGCTAGTATCACCATAATCTTAGTAAAGGAAATCACGTAGCGGAAGAGAAAAAGGACGAAATGACAGTCAGGAATCCTAATTTCAATTTTTTTCTTCCTGACAATCAATCAAAATTTCTTGTCTATTCCCTGGCACTGTTTCCCACTTTGGAAAATGCAAATAATAAGCTTTCATTCCTTTACAATATACATGAAGATGCTTGTAAGAAAAACTTATTACTACTTATTAATAAACATAGTATTATTTACGTACTATTTAAACATACTACTCATGTTCTGCATTTTGAGAAACATGTTAGTAAAATTAAGAATATAAGCAATGTCTGACTGGGTTAAACCGATGGCCCACTTAGTGCAAAATTCTGTCTCCAACTGACAATAGAAAAAAACTGCTGTTTAAGGGAAATACGACCCTGGTCACTTTTTGTAGTTCCCAAGCATTTATAGTCACTAGATATTACCAGCTACTTCTGATTGTCTTTAACGTACAGAATGTCTGTCCCAGCTCTCTCTCTTATGTTACTAGCACAGACCTTGCACATTTGCTGGACTAATTAAAATGGACTATCTGAAAAAGCAACATTCACATCATAATTTACCTTCTGTAGCAAGAACAACATGAGGACCACTTCCATAACTCAGACAGGCTATCTTTTTGCCACATAGAGAATCTAACCTCCTCGGTTCAATAGTGCTCTGCATGTCACCTGTTCCCAAACATCCACTGCAGTTCATGCCAAGCACAAAAACCTGTTATAAAAAAAATAAATCACAGAATCATAATTTGGGTTGGAATTGGAGGAGGAGGTTGGACCTCCTCCAAAGGTCAACTAGTTCATTCCCCTGCTCAACAAAGGTCTAAATAGATCAGTTGACCCAAGGCCATGCCTAGTCGATTCTTGAACACCTGCAAGGAAAAAGATCTCACAACCCCTATGGATTTAACCACTATCACTGTAATTTTGTTTTCCTAATACCGAATCAGAATTTTCCATCTTCCAGCTTGTGTCCATTGCCTCTCATCCTATCACTACGCACCTTTAAGAAACGTCTAACTCCATTTTCTCTTTATCCTCTGACTGTGGTAGGAAGCCACTAATTTGAATTGAAAATGTTTAAGTAGCAATCAAATGATTATGCATTTTTGCTTGCAACTTTTTCTCAGTATGCTATCACAGCAATGGCTTTCAGAACAACTTGATACATAAATGACTAAATATGTCATATTCATACACACTCTTGGACAATTACCTCATCATTTTCAGTTGCATACAACACTTCATTGCCAGCACTGCCAAATACACAGGCTTGACGAATTAACTTGAGCTCTTCTTGGGAACAGAGAGAAAAAATTGGCCATTTCCCAACATCCAGCATCTTCAGGGCTGACAATAATGTTGCCTCCCAGACCTGATATTATAAAAAAATTATATCAAACACCTAGACAGAGAGAAATTTATACCTTTGCACAGTTAAAAGGGAAAATTTAGAGAAATACCACCATTTCCTTTTTCATCCACAAACCAGTATTTTAGTTCTAGAATAAAACTTGGAGGGAAGCCACTGAAATAAGCAAAATATATCATGATCCAGAAAGAATGCATCTATATACATGGAGAAAAGCAGCATATAAGAAGTTAAATGGTGAGGTTGCATTTTCACTATATTCACACAATATAACTGCTAGCTTACAGAATTCACTGTACAGGATTCTAACATCAACTGTAAAGTATTCATTCAAAACTTGAAAATAATTTGTGTCTTTTCCTCTGGTGCTGACATTACTGTTAAAAGAAGAAACCATAAAAAAAATCTTTGAAAAATATACACATTTGTTTTCACGTGTTGAAAATGGAAACTCAAGAAACTCCTTTACTTCTGAAATTTACTTCTGTGTCTCAACAATTATCGAATCTTTGGAAACTTCCTAAGAATATCTGCATTTTATGTAAGTAGACATATAATAAAAGAAAAAAGATAATTGAACATTTTGCGGCTTATCCAAGGACAAATTACAAGTTTATAGTTAAGGAATAACAGGTCTCTTCAGACATTAGAACTAGTCAAGCTAATGTTTGAATCTCACGCAACATTTCTACTGCTTTAGTATAGCATAAATCAGAAAAATGTTGCAGTATCAAAATTTAGTAGCAAATTATGCATGGAGCATGCATCAAATTTTCTTTACTGAAATTAAAACAGGCTCTGAACATGAAAAAAAACAACCAATCAGCATTACTTCGCAGCTCAGAAGGTAAGTAAGAAGAGTTTTTGCCTGTCACAGGTAGTTCACCACATAACAGTAAGGACTGCATCATTAATTTATTTCTAGCAAGAAGCAGACTTACAAGATGATCTGTTACAGAACATAATTTTTTCTACCTCTGTCTGAAACGAAGATGTGAATAAATTCTAATTTGGAGTCTGAAGCACATTAGTCAGTTTTAAGAATATTGGTTTTTTTATTAGTATCACTTAATATGAAAAAATGTACACAGGAACATAGATAAGATTTGAAACTACATAAATAAACCCTACATTAATCCTGAATTAAAGCCTTTAAACAAATAGCTGTTAATCACTCATTTCTTTATAATATGCTTCTGAAGAAAGGGAAGGAGGGCTGGTCATCTTCTCTAAAGAGAAGTTGCAGTTTTGATCATACCAGTTCTTTGCCCATCTCCTCACACCAAGTAACTGAACAATTTCAGCCAAATTTGGAAGTGAAAGGGAAGCAAAACTCTGCTAACGCAATCCATGCGGCAGTAGGCAGCTGGACAATTAGGCACGTGTGTTATGAAATAAGTCAGCAAGCAAGTAGGTCCAAGCTAGGCCTAGTAACTGCTGTCCTTCATGACACACAGCAGAGCGATAAGAGATGAAGGCCATGAATCCATATGGAATAGGGCTTCATTCATCTGCTGTTCGCAAAACAATTTATGTCAAGAGGTTAGCATTAATTCTATGCAGTATTTTGGCCACTTTTAAAATATAATAAATACTAAAAGCATCAGACACTACTCTTCCAATTGCGTCAACAAAACTGCATCCCACTTTTGCTCAGGACTGATGAAGCCTGAGGTTCAAAGAGAGAGTCAGGGTGTCCTTCAGTTGTACAGATTTCCTTACTGCAATAAGATACTGGTTTCTTTAAAATTTGGGCTCTAAATTTCAAGTGCACATGCCCTCACGCACCTTAAACAGTAGTTTTTTTCTGTAACCTTGTTCTACAAAGCACTCACATTTAACAGGTTAAAAAAACCCAAACAACCAACAAACTCTAGCATTTGTTTACACAAAAGTAATACACTGAAGGAAAAAAAACCCCAAACTACTATTATAAAAAACACTCAAGCAAACACTTATGATATTGGCTTTTTTTAAACAAAAGAAATAACAACAAACTTTATCAGACTAAAAAATATCCACAATCTAAATCCTGTCTCTGTAATTATTAGTCACATTCAGTTCAGTAAGAGATATTGCCTCACCTTTTAAGATCTTCTTCCCTCCTATGCTTCTCCATTATATTTTGTCCCAAAAATATGAAAAACAGCTCGAACTATCAGCCTGCCAATATTTAAGTCCCGTAAGTGATCAGTTCCCTCATTTTATCGCACAAAGTCATGAAAGACAGAGTCAGACCAGAATCTGAGTTTTCATATTGTCCAGCTACCTATCCCAAAAGTGAATCAGCTATGCCTCAAGAATTCCTGAAACTTCTATGCTTCATTTGACCTCAGCAATCAGTTTGAAAGCTGATTATTCAGTTCAATTTGTTATACGGATCACCTTACAAGGCATCATCATTAAGCTCAAAATCTGAATGATGTTTCATTAAGTTTTATACACAAAGTGTTCGAGGAAAATAAAAGAGAAAAATGAGAGGAAGATTTTGCCTCAAATTACACTACAGAAGTTAATTCTAACAAGTTTATGTTGTTGAAACATTAGGCTGGAACATGTAACTTTAGAACTTAATACTAAATTAAACCAGCCTTGTAAGCCAAAGGAGCAATTCAACCTAATTAAAATGAATATATAGTTCTTCTAATATTTTCTGGATCACACAAGCAACATTTCTTTTGCTGGTATCATTTTTCTACCAATAGCTTTGGTTTTTTGATTATCTTGAAAGCTACAAGCATGTACTAAGCTACCACTAAATGGAACTAAGCTTCTTCCTTTTGAGAAGAGCAGCAGGGAATACAAATTCACACTCTGACCTTGACACCGGCTCCTTGAGAAGGAGGAGGTTCATCCTCCATATGGATTTGTGCTTGTGTCCCCCTGCAGAGAGAGAAAGGTGGTTAAAATCACTGTATCTATTAATGCAATAAAACTTTACAGAACTATACACGCTTAATATTAAGCCAGAACTATTTGCTTCTGTGGGATGAGAAAACAAGAAACACAAAGCGCAGCCAATTTCGGTTTTATATTCAGTTGTACAGTGGCCAGTAGACTCTGCTCTTCTGTATTCTTACCTAAAATAACAATACCTGGACAAAACTCTTTTTTTAAATTAGTAGTAAAATTAATCAGACTGTGATTGGAAAGGAAGAAGTTTTAATAAACACAATACTCCAATGTCTTTTTATTACAGTAAAAATCAATTTATAACCTTGCTGACATAATTTTTCAAGACATTTCTTTCAGCAAACAACAAGCACACTGGTCAGAGCTTTCCATTTCTGACTTAAGCCTTCAAATGCTCTTTTTCCAGTTCCATTCTGAAAACCAATGAAAAACGTTTGGGCCTTTTCAGGTTTACTGAGAACTGTTAAAATATTCACTCTGTTTCAGAAAAATATTGCCAACCCTGTAAATTACTTGTATCATTTCTATGATGTGTATTATCAATAGAAACAGATTTTCAGATCAGATGTTTCTTCTATCCTTAAATTATTTCCTAACATAAAGCCATGCAACTCCATTGTCAGTAAAACTGCAAAAAAGAGTAAGCAGCTCCGACACCGTGCAAGCTTCTTTTACTCAACTAGTCAGAAAGTTGAACACAACATTTTCTTTGAGCTACACTGGTTCAGCCAATGCTAAAAATCGGTTTAGTCCTCACCTAAAATAAAATGTAAAAAAATGTAAAAAGTAAAAATCTGACTACAGGCAGAATAACATCCAACAAACAACAAGCTACCATTTTACTCGGTTACTTTTTGGAGGAATACCACACTAAAAGTAGTATCAATGTAGCTTTATAAAACTACCTAACTTACTACTAAACATGCCTCTTCTTTAAGACTTTCATGCCGTAAGACCTAGGCCAAGGACATAGAATACATGAAATTCATATGATTTAAATTTTGTAAGTGTTAATGATGTAACAAATATAATTTAATGTACTGAATAAATAACAATTATTTTTATTTACTGAAAATGAATAAAAACTGAACAATTGCTGCAGCTCAGCTATACTGAATATGCACATTGTTAAGCATATGCTTTAACAAAACTCACAAATCTACATACACACAGAGTATTTTGTATACTTGGTTTGAGACACTAAATGATAAATTCAGCTCGTGTGAAAGTCCAGCTACTCTCTTGACCATCTCGACTTTGAGCTTAAGGCTCAAACACCCAACGAAACTGGAATAACTTGCAGCTAAGTTATACTCCCTTTTAACTAGGAAAGATGGACGGGTTGATTCAATTTTCCACGCATTAGCACCTACTGAGATTTGAGATGACCTTGGGGATCCTCAACACCAAATAGTGCTGGCAGATAGGAAACAGGACCTATAGGGTAACCCATGACACGCTGGAGCAGCAGCTAAGAACTAAAAGACAGTGATGCCATCAAGGGGGAACAGTTTTAAACTGAAAAAGGGGAGATTTAGATTACATACTAGGAAGAAATTCTTTAGTGTGAGGGTGGTGAGACACTGGAACGGATTGCACAGAGAAGCTGTGGATGCCCCATCCCTGGAGGTGTTCAAGACCAGGCTGGATGGGGCTTTGGGCAACCTGCTCTAGTGGGAGGTGTCCCTGCCCATGGCAGGGGGGTTGGAACTCTAAAGTTCCATTCCAACCTGAACCATTCCATGATTCTACGATGTATGTACAACTGAACAGATCCCGGAATAAGCAGACATAGCTATTTACCAGGCTTTACAACTTGTTAAGCTCTTGCTATTAAGCGATTTGTTATTTTCTCATTTTCTTCAACATGCTTACTTGTTCAAAAAACAAGAACGCAACCAGTTGATTTTGTGTACATTATCACTATTTAACTAGAAACAACTCACCAAATTAACACCTTTGGTATGACCACAGCCTGAGCCGGACTGTATCACTGAACTGCAGTTCTGAAACATTTAAAGTATGCGAGTAGTCCTACTGTGAAACTCATTATCAAGGCTATCCAATATTTTGCAGCATCAATTTCAAGCATTCCCTGGCAATGCTGGTATATGTTACCCACTTCTTGGCCATCCTTAGCCTACAGTCAGTCCAAAGGGCTCACACATCCCTCAAAAGAATACCTATTAATTATGAATTTTCTAATTTAAAGAAATGTAGAATTCTCTATTTCCTTCCTCGAGCCATTTGATACATAACCGAAAGCCATGATTCTTCAAGTTCTAATGTTTCAATCCAATTGTTTCTGTTCGGACAAAAGCATAGTTTGACTTTAAAAGCAGTTTATTCATTAGTATAGAGAAAGATACCTCAGGATCTAACCATCTCAGTCACCTAACAAAAGCGACTCCAGCCCACTACTTTTCAGAGTTCCACAAACATGCCGACAGTTTTGCCCCAACTCTTCAAGAGCAAAGATCACTTACATGTCCTCACAACTCAAGTTATACCAAGTTTTATCTTATATATAACTAAGAGAAAATCACCCTGCAGCTCCATTCTTCAAGCTGTTCTGCAAACATAGACTCCTTACTTCTGAGCAAGCCCATAGGAGTACATGGGATGGTTCAAGCTACACCAGTTTATTTTTATTCAAATTCATGTGTTCTAATAAAAGTACATACTGCATCTGCATCTGCAAAGGTGTTCTTTCTGTTGACCTGCAATTGATTTAAGAGTACATGTTCACCCTGGGATCCTGAAAATAAAGAAGACCAAAAAAAGCCATTATTAAGTCTGTCTAAGAATCATTCTTACCTGTGTACCTTTAAAATACTAGTGATGATTCATATTTGCCTACTCGTAGGAATTTTCCCTCCAGAAAAACAACCATTATATATACAAAGCGAACAAAGAAAAAACAGCATTTTCATCAAAAATTAAAAGATAAAAACCTCTATGTTCAGGTACAGAAGAAAAATACAGCCTATTTCAGGCAAGTTACTGGGGTTGTTAATCTACTAAATCTTATAAGGTGTGTATAATTGCTAAGAAACCTTGCTTTAAAATAGCTAGCCACTACGTTGTTTTTTTTTGTTTGGTTGGTTGGTTTTTTAATGCAATACTTACTTTGGAAAGTAAAAAGGTAAGCAAGAAATATCTCTCATGTATTAAAATTTTACATATGATTTCACTAGCTGTGTTGTCAAAAAAATTCTGAAGTACAGATCAAAGGGAGAAAACTTCATTGTTATTAACATCCATTTCTTGAGGAAGTGCACAGCATTTTAATACAAAAATATTTATAACAGACTTGCACAAATCTCTTATCTGGAATCCAAGTACCATTAGTAATCTGGACAGCATACTCTGGCAGTCTGAGTTTAAGTTTTGGAATTTCAAAGTTCTGACCCTGGTTTTGGTCCAACCGTGACAGGTCTTTGGGTAAGGCACATACACTTCTCCAGTACAGATAAGACTCCTTTAAGGAATACAAATTCCAGTTCTAAAAGCCAAGTTCTATTAGCAGTCTAAGACCATTTAATGCTAAATAATTAAACAGGTTCACTGACTCATTTGAATGTAAACATTCTTGTAGATTCTCTCTCTAGGAACTTGGCAAGCAAACAAAAATTTTCAGAACGCCACTTAGTATTTCCTCCCACTTAATTTGAGCATTTATGAATCTCATCTGCGGAATCAAAGGTCTGTCTGAAGTTTCTTCCCCAAGGACTCTTAACCACAGCCTTAGGAAAGATTAGGAGGAAAAAGTCACAGAAAAAAGGGACTTGCTGACACCCTTAGGAAAGGAACCTAACCTTCTCTGATATTCTTGGTTTCTCAGCAGTTTCCTACCGGAACAGTCATGAAATGATGTTAACTTGTCTAAGTGATCTTGCAGGAAAGGACAAACCAGTAATACCATCAACAGTTATTCCTATTGAACAAGTCACATTCCCTTTCTAGGAAGACTATCTTCAAAATTATCTTCCTTCTTCACATACAGTGAGATGTCACTACTCCATCCAATGCAGACAATAAACTGAAAGAACTCAGCTTGTCACTCATGCTTCCATTCATGCAGCACTTTCCATTACCAAGAAAATGTAGACTTTGAGAAACAGCAAGTGGTTGGTTGAAAAACTGCTGTCTCCAACTAAAGTATGGTCTTCTCCCCTCCCCTTCTTGCTTCTTGACACCAGACTGTGACTTCTCAGCTCCTGATGCGAGCTCCGCTGGCTGCCTCCTAACTGCAAGAGCAAATCTACAAAGAGTTCAGAGGGCAGATCCAAGAAACTCTGAAAGACTGTAGTATTTACAGTCTGAAAAGCTGACATCCTTGACCTTGCAAGGTAGGTAACTGCTACAGAAATTTCTAATTGACATGATCCGAGATAAGACAGCTTTATTCTCTCAATCTCCAGAGACAAAACTTCAGCCAAAAACACCATGTCAGACACCACCTCTCTTGTGGCATGACATCCTGCTCCACCTGTTGGTTCCAGGGATGGGCCTCCAGCAAGTTTTCAGAGGTTCATCTACGAGCAGCATGATGTACTGGAGCTAGATGCTGGAAAGCTATTCACCAAGGCCCTTATTTGCAGTAACTTCATCACCCCCAAAAAGAAGGTGATTGTCAAGAATGAAAGCAGTGAAGGACAAGATGCAAACAACACACGAAAGAAAACCTGGGCACAGGAAAAGCAAGGAAGATGGTGGGAACACTGTTCTGTTACCCATGCTTAGCACCATCCCTCAATAGAGGTTCGATATCTCTGCAATAAAGAGCAAATACATCAGGGAAAGACATTTTGAAAGAAGCGAGAAGATGGGAAAGAAAACAGAGGGCATGATTTTTCAACTCCCCAGTGATTTAAAAATAAGTGTTAGGGCCTGGTGAGAAATTTCTGCCCTAAGTGACAAAACTGCTTTGAAAAATCGTATGTAGACTCCTGGGACACCTTCCCCTCACCTCCAAAAAAACCACACCGTGGTGTTTTGGACTAGCAAGACAATACAACTAATTTGATTTTTATCAAATCACCTAGGACTTTTAAAAGCCCTACATGATGGTAAGACACACTGCTCATATTAAGTTTCTTTATTTCTCCCATTCCTATGCCAATTATTTTTTTTTCCCCTTAGAACTGCTGTCAATCATTGTCAGCACTGATGCAGAATGGTGTATTGTTTACCAGCGAGCAACGTGAGTGGAAGTGACTGAAAAAATCACCCGTCCTCACCCACCAGAGGGATCATGTTTAAAGCAGAAGGAAAAAAAAAATATCTCAAATTCTTTTCTCATTCTACAAACCCTACAGTCACCCTGAAAAAAAATAATTTCAAAGCTTTGACTATCATTCTATCTGGCTGAAAAAAATGAAGATTTGAATAAAGCAACTAAAAACTAATAAGGAAGATAAACTCTACAACAAATTAATGAAAGCCAAAAATACAAAGGCTAGAAAATAGTAATGACGTTTATACTAAAATTACGCCTCTAACAGACATGCTGAACTGTCAAGGTCAGCAGCTAAAAAAGCCTGGTAAGAAGGGGGCAGTCAAAAAATATTTTCACTTAAAAATATTTACACTTCTTTCTACAAGTGCAAAAATACCTTTTGAAGGCAATCAAGTGGTTCAGATCATGGAAACAATGCAAGAACTACCTTCAAAGCTGAAAAGCATTAAAGGAGGATGCTGGAGTCATTTGCACATAAATAGTGGTAAATAGTGCAGTAAAATTAAACAAATATAACAAGCGTTATCTCCAGACCTTGAAGTTTATTAAAACAATCAAACATTTTGTTAGATAGTCTCTTGGGAACAGGACGTCACTCCTGTATCTAAATGCAACCTAATGTAACCTAATTTAGCCTAAATCTAACCTGAGATGCGGAAGGAAAACATTTGTTTGCATTTTTTAATGTGGCTGATCCAAGATTTTCAAAAAATTAACTTGAAAAGCTCTTTTTCTTTGCTGAATTGTTAGCCAAACTCTAAACACACTTCAGTTCCCAGAGTCCCTACAGACACACAAACATAACAAAATACAACTGATCCAATTGTTAGTTCTTCTCTATTTTAAATGCTACACAAAATTTAATTTACCATATAATTGATTTGGTGGAATTGAAGTTTATTCTTCATTTTGATGTTCCGACATGAGAGTTAAAGGAACCAGCTTTAGGGAAACAAAAGTATTCCAAAGATTTCTTTTTAAAAGAACTTTATTAAAAATATTAACAAGGTAACAAGCAAAATAATTCACAATAATGCAATATATATGTGAAAGAAACAGCTATTGTCTTTTCATAAACTTCAAGAATCTGAGTACAGAAAATATTAAAGCTTTAAGAATTTAAGAAACACTAACAGGTCATCAAGTTGTTCAGGATAAACCATGTGCAAGCTTCAGACGTTAGGTGACATTGCCCCTGTATGTGGGAACCTGACTGGACTGGACATCAGCTCAATGGCACAGGAACAGCGTGTCTGGGTGGAACCCTTCTGTTATTATGCAATCATAAACATTATATTGCATTAACAGAAAAAAAGTTTGCAAATGAATGCATTTTGTTATGCTCCCTCTAAGTAGATCTGACCTAGCCTAAATTACTAGCAGTCTGCAGTTACCTGATCCAGCCAAACGCTGAGCCATGTCTCAGGTCTAACTCTTGGGTCTTTGACCTCACAGTCTGGTCTAGCAGTTAAAGAAGAAATATTCACAGCTTCTACACATCTAACTTTTAATCACTCAGATGTCCAAGGAAGGTCATTCTAGGCTCATTTAGACTAAAGGCTTTAATTTATAAAATTTATCTTCTAAAACAATCTAAACCTTAATAAAAAAAACTTAAACATAAACATTAACAAACCACACCTGACTTTATTTTCTACATTCCCTGCTTACTTCGGTTTTGCAGTTTTTCTGCACATCACAACCTTGGTCAATAAGGGCTCCAACCTACAGCTAAGAGGGCTACATGTTGGGTCACCAAGAGCAGAGTTTTTTTTCAGGACGATGTCTAGCACAGTTCCAGCATGAATCTGGCTGGAGCGACGTCTCCTTGTAACACTGGGCACTTGCCAGAGCACTTCCCATGAACCCAGCACACAACGCCTGGGCGGGTGGGAGGATGGTGCAATCTTTCCCTGACACAAAGTCAGAATTTGCCTACATATATACATCAAGTAGATATATATAAATGCATGTCTAAAAATATAGAGATATATACACACACACAACAGGTATGATGGAGCTGAGAATTCTGATAGCTTAAATTTTTATACTTATAACTATCTGCATAAAAAGATACCATATGTTATAGAAGAGAGAAATACAATAGTAAATAGAATGTGTATATGAAAGAAAGAACTTCCCCCATGAGTAAATGACTGTCTAACTGTCCACTTAGATATGTCTTTCAGTCTTCTGATACTGAAACTGACCAACGTTAAGTGGCAAGAGCATTGGATTAGACATAGCCATGAGGTTTCCCAACTCCTAGTAAATAATTAAGAGACAAAATGTTATTCTTTATGGTCTAAGTTTTAAGCATCTATTAAATCTACCCACTGCAGCAGCCTCCTCCAAACTGCAACAAATCATAGGCCTCACGATGCCAAGGCTGTTTTACCTCAACTTTATCACTCAATGGTCTTACTTCTATTCTTGTTTTTACTAACATGACTAAAGAAGCCTCAAAAAACAATTGCATAAATTCTGAATTCCTTTTGCTGATTCTTACTTTAGAACTGCGCTTTATGTCTTATATTTTCCTTTCCTTATCCATCCTTTTTCTAGTCTTTATTCCTAAAACCCTTTTTGAGACAGATCAAAGTTCTTTTCAATAGACCTTTTTTCACTCCTTGGATATAAATTCCAAATAGAGTCTACCTTTGGCATAAAACAACTTCATACCTTCTTGGCTTCTAGGGCCCTCAGGACTACAGTACAACTAAGATCACCAATTAATCCTCTTGATTTTTCAAAGTTTGCCCTTCTAAAATGGAGAATTTCAAACCTGTCTCTGTTTAGTCCCCTATTTTATTTCTATTTTATTCAATCTAATTAAAAATGTGATCCAAGATCACAAGCTGACTAATAAACCAGCTCTTCTCAAAGTTTGTCACACTACTTAGTGAGATCAAATCTAAAGCAATTCAGTGCTTTACAGCAGTTGTATGTAGGAACTGGATCGCTATATGTCCTTCCCAAATGATGCTGTTACCTGTATCTAAGAAAAAAATCCACCTGTGATATAATTCCTGATAGTATATCTCAGTAAGTGATACCCTTATCCAAATCCAACTCTTGTGGTCTATGGCAGACACCATCAAAAGCTCTTGAAATTATTTTTTTCTCAAAGCAATAATGTGTTTGACTTTTTTTTTAATCCACACAATCTCTTCCTGTTACTTTACTGCCCATCACATCACTCACATCCTGTGCCATCCTGTCACATTTACTTCTTGTATCTGGGGACAGCACTAGCTCTCCTACCCTGCATTCCGCAGGATAGTTGGTTATTTCTCTGTGTTTCCCTTACCCCAGGACTGCTTTCACATCCTTCAACCTTAGTTCAGCCCAAATGGTTTCTGGTGGTGCACAAACAGAACCATCTACAGACCCTACTCAGTTCATAAGCAGGAGTAAAATCTCTTAGCTTGTTAGAGAATCATAGAATTGTCTAGGTCGGAAGGGACCTTTCACATCATCTGGTCCAACCATCAACCTAACACTGACCAAAACCACCATGAAACCAACCAAGCTCTACAAAACGTAGACCAAGCTCCACATCTACCCGTCTTTTAAATACCTCCAGGTATGGTGATTCCACCACTTCCCTGGGCAGCCCGTTCCTCCGTAGTCGTGCCCTCTCTTTTTATCCACCAGTATTAGACATTTCATCTCCACACGGAGACACAATGCAATCCTCCCACACAGCTTCCCAGGTACTTTTTCTCTGCCTTAAAACCGTAACCGGCCATCAAGCGGAGCTTGTTTACCGTCCTGAGAGCCTCACACCTCCTCTGCACACCCATGGACTCACACCTCTCCAGCACCACACGAATTTAACACCTGACACAAGTTGCAACACCATCCCCCCCAATTTATCAGCCATTTCTAAACCTGGGAAAGGTAACCCAGGGGAACGCGACACCGCACCGGCCCAGCAGGGGCCGAAAAGCGGCCTTCCCCACTCCTCCCTCCCCACCCACGGCCAAACGGCGGCAATGGGGCAGGACCTCCGCCTCGCCCCCTCACCAGCGGGTTCCAGGCCCAGGCTCCCTCAG